TTTTTTTTTGTATTTTTTTTATCTTTTTTTAATTTGAGCAATTATTATTTCTGGTGCTTTGATTTAATTTTTTTGTTGAATTAGCATTAACTTTTAAGTTGTTTAATTTAGAGTTTTGAAGATAGAAAAGCAATATTAAATGAAGATTTGAATTTAATATATGAAAAAATATTTTATTATATATATACTTTACATAGCTGGCTCAAAGAAAGTTTCTATAGTTAGTTGCTTGAATAAAGTATTTTAAAATTTTCTTACTAGCTTAAACAACTTTGATAAAGCTGTGTTATGTTCTGTATAAGCTACATCACTAAGATCCTGTTATATGAGATATAATTCTAATAAATATATAGCATCTGATACTTCTTTGTGACTAACTTGGGGTAATTCTATACTATCATCTTCTTCATTACCCTCCTTATTATCTTCGGCAGTTTTAGGATTTGGGTATGTAATTTGGTTTATAATTTCTTGGTTACTTAGTATTCTGCTTATATTTTTTTTTTTCTGAATAATTAATATATTTCTCTAGATTCATTACATTTTAAAAGTTGAGTATTTCTATATTATTATACAATTTCTTCATCAAATCATCATCATTATTATTATTATCACAGGTAACCTTATCATCTTGAACAACTAGAAGAATTTCTGTATATCTATAGCAATTTTGTATTGTATCTGATAATACCTCTCTTCATAATTAAGCAATAAATTTTATAGCAGTAAGGATATCCAATTTATCATCACTTCCAAATTCAAGTAACTATTTTATAAAGTGGTTTTGATAGTGACATTTAAAAAATATTATAATTCTAGCATCTATAGACTGTATACGGAATATTGTATATGGGAAAAAGGTGTAGACAGTTGTATTATAAAGTTTTAAATTACCAGAAGAATGACATTTTGCACTATCAATTAAAAGAATTACTTTATGACTAGCCATTTTTAAGTCAAATTTTTTAAGCCATTTTTAATATAGTATACTTGATATTCATACATTTTGACTTGCATCATACATAACATCAAGACTATAATATTTGATAGATTTAAAACAATGTGAATTGGGCAATTTATCAATAACAAATAGTATCATTTTATCTGTTCTATCACATTAGTACAAAATACTAAGGTTAAATACTCTTTATATTTTTTTTCCTTTTAAGACAAATGGTTGCTAGTGTAGTGTCTGATTCTAGACTTTAAAAAAAAATAATAATAAATAAAAACAAAAAAATAAAAAAATAAAAAAAAAAAGACGAAAATAAAAAATAGTTTATAATATGCTAGTTCATGTTAAAAAGAAAATAGTAAAAATATAAAATTAAAAAAATAAAAAATAAAAAAAAAAAGGTAAAATGCAAAAAAATAACAAGAACGAATCAATTAAAGTGAGTATTAATTAATATAGTCTAATTTATTAATACTGATAGAATAAGCTCATCTTATCTATATT